GTGTGTGTGTGTGTGTGTGTGTGTGTGTGTTATCTTTGTAGGACCGTTTCTGGTATACACACCTACCTTGTTAGGACCAGTAGACCTAATGGGGACCAAAGACCGGTTCTAATATTTTGGAACTCCATTTGTGGGTCAGGGGTTCAGTTTAGGACCAAGGTATGAATTGTGTTTAGGTTAGTTTTAGGGTAAATGGTCAGTGTTAGGCTGTAGAAATGAATGGAAGTCAGTGAACGGTCCTAATAAGGATAGAAATAAAAACCAGTGTGTGTGTGGTGCCCTGAGGCTGTGACAGGAGGAGAATGGTGTGACAACAAACAGAGGCAGCATGGGAGCTCAGGCAGTTCACACCGCCTTCATCTGCTGAACACACACACACACACACACACACACACACACAGCATTGGCTCATCTGATTGGTTGGACTTTTTTTGTGAGCGTTCACAACAAACCACTTAATTTATCTATTTAAGCAGCTGTTGGGACGTTTGTTTCCAGGCGTTGCTCATATTCGATCACATTTTTTTTTTGTTTTTCAGTAAAATAAAATTAACCTCAAATGACAATCAGTCCACCACTGTGCTCAGCTGTTATTGACCTTTTTCTCCAGAGTACAATTCAAAAACATCAACTTTAACTGTACAGAGGGTTTGTTTTAATGAAATTATTCCTCTTGTTTAGGTTTTAAATTCATTTAAGTAAAGCTGAATTCAGCCACAGGAGAACAGAAGTGAGTTTCATCCAACTCCACCATCAAAATGTTGGTTTTTGATATCAACCCAACACAGACGAGAGTCTTAATTTTTATATCTTTGTGGATGGTTTTTACTCATGAAGCAGGAGAATTTATTGAAATGTTAAAATGAAAATGAAACAATCAGTCTGCTCCAGATGATGCTTTTATTAGAACACACAAATAAAAGACTTGGTTAAAACAGTCAGGTTGTGGATTTTAATGCAAAACATAAACTTATTTAAAACAGACAAAGTCTGTAATTATAAATAAATTAATTATGTCTTTAAGAGCAAGCAGTTGGTTATAAGTTATCTGGCTGCTAAATAAAACTCGTATTTCCCTGATTCTGTTGACTTCACACAGAACTGCCAGTGATTAAGTTAAATAAAGTTTACAGTGCTCCGTTTCACAGTTTGTCTCTTTTTATTTGACTTTTTGCTGGTGACTTGCTCCACTTTTATTTTGAAATGCAGATTTTAAAAAGTGTTCCAGAGTAAAATGAATAATGAATAAAAAAAAAACCTCAGTTCACAACTCTTTTAAACAGACAAAAATAAAATAATATCCAGAGAACAGCACAATTTAGTTTTAAACTTTATCTGAGAACCGGACCACCATCAGGCTCTCCTGTCAGACGTCACCCAGAATAAATCTGAGGAGAAAAATAACGACTCTCTAAGGGGTGACCCTGGACCTCGGCTTGTTAGAGTCTCAACGCGATCCCTCCCAGCGTGACGACGTGGAGGAGGCGCAGCGCCGACCTGGGCGGCGGGGCGGCCGTCCCCGTCAGGAGCGTGGCGTCTCTGGAGGCCAGCACGGTGCGACCGGAGCTGGGATGGATGTGCCTGAAGTTGTTCTGCAGAGGCGTCACCTGCTCTGCGTCCTCCTCCGTGGAGAAGATCTGCGAGGTAAACTGAGCGAGCTGAAAAAAGTAAAAAGTTAAAAAAAAAATTGAAAGCAAGATAAAAAACAAGTAAATATTTTCAGTGTATATAATCATTGATCCAAGGACGTTGTGTAAAATGTAAATAAACGCAATGCATCCATATTAAAATAAGAAAATTTTAGAATAAAAACATTTAGGTGTGAGTAAAATCGAGACAGGTGCAACAAACAGCCCTTTAATGAGTGATACAAAACAGCAGGAGGAGCATTAGAATAGGTTAACTGGCAGCAGGTCAGTGATGCCTGGTTCATGCAGCAAGGCTTTAAAATTATCAGCTGATTTTCAAAGAGAGATCCCCCCACAAAAAAAAAAAAAAAAAAAATTGGTCCTACAATGTGTGGTGTGCAGCCACAAGGAAAGACAACGCACACAAACACTCACGAACATGCAGACGTCAGACAGGAAATCTCGCGAGACCTCTTGAGATCAAAGGTGAGTAAAAAAAAAAAAAAAACATGGCAGATGAGAAAGAAACAACAGCGATAGATTGTGGACTATTTTTTTAAAAGAAAAACAATTGAAGACTGGTCTGGACTTTCTGGTGAGTCATGTCAGTTGTTTTGGATTGTGTTTACATCGTCTCGCGTTCTGATTGGGTATAAATAAAAGGAGCTTTTTAGAGAGGTTGAATCTGTCAGAAGTAAAGACGGGCAGAGGTTCAGAGGTTTGCAAATAACTAAAATAAATTAATCTAAAATTAGTGATTTGGTCAGGAGAATAAAACTTTGAAACTATTTCTCTTTTATCCTGTGTAATAAAAGATAGCACACAGGTTAGAAGCCCGCCTCTCTGATGGTATAGGGGTGCATTAGTGCTGAAGTTATGGGCAGCTTACACATGTGGAAACACTCTTTCAAGGTTTCTGCTCTCAACAAGACGACGCATATTTAGAGCATTGGAACAAAGAAAAAAATTCAACAAATACGATTTAAGACTGCTGGTGGCTAAAATCCTACATCGACACAAGTGGAACAGCAGCAAAAGTAAAACAAAATTCTCTTATATTTATGCAAAATTTCCTCATTAAGACATCTGATATGTTTGATATGTCATATTTACATTGTACACATTGGCATTTTGCTGTAAATTCAGATTGAGAGTAGAGACGTACTTGGGACCAGGAGATGTAGATGGGAACCTCGTACACGGTCCACACAACAGCCTGAGAACATGGAGGGGTGGTGAGGCTTCCCTGGTAACGGTAGTACTGACTCATGTTGTGCTTCGGCAGGAGACTCATCATCGGGAAGGGTTTTATTTTAGCCGTTTGACCTGCGGGAGGAGACGTGGAGCCGCGGTGAGCTCATCGTTACAGGTAACAATAAAAACTGGGGGGGTATTTCGACCCGTCTGACCTTTGTGAGCAACAGAAGACAGTTTTTGAGATATGTGTCCAAAGTGCAGGTTGTCTGCATAAACAACCTGCAAACAGAGATCAAATCAGCACAGTTTGGTACGAAAACAAAACAAAAACAATCTGAATGTGTTCACTGACGTCTATAAAGAAGCCGAGAACGGCGAGTCCTGTCGGGTCGTCCAAAGCTGCAGACACGTTAGGATGGATGGACTTCATGTTGACGATGTGCATCTGTTTTTTTTTTTTTTTTTAAAAAGAGACGTTAATGGACGGCTGAGTCGCGGAGCGTCGCTGCAGGGTTTTGCTCGTGACCGTGCAGAGCTGCCTACTGACCAAACTGTACCTCCATTGGGTATCGGTGCCCGTCCACCGTGTGCTCCGAGCCGTTGCTGGCCGGGCCCCCCCAGTGGAAGTGCAGCTGGACGGTGTGGTACGTGCCCGGAAGACCGCCGCCGCTCACCGCCATGCCGCTGCCCACCCGCAGCACGACTGGGAGTGGAGAGGAGATGATGTCGAAAACACAGAACCTGAAATAAGTGAAAAGGAAACAGTGGCGGCGGCGGCTCACCGGAGTGGCCGTCGTTCTCCAGCGTCCAGTGACCCGTTTGGACTTCCTCAAAGCCCTCCAGGTGTAACGGCTGCAGGGAGTCGTTTCTGATCATGTGGTGGTCCAGGTTGATGGGAGAGTGATGGAGCTCAAGCAGAGGGTGGCACAAAGGGAACGATTCTCCCCAAGAGTACGGATCTGATGGTGGAAATGTAAACTAAACATTTAATTAACATTTATTTCATTAAAGAGATTATTAACTTCTTCAAAATAAAAGCATGATGCTTTTAAATCCTTCTTTTCACATTTAAATCACTCAGTTGGGGTCTATATAAAGTGGAGCTGCAATGCTTTGGTATGAATTCATCCTTATCGTAACTCCACAAGCCCTTCTTTCACCTCTTTTCTGAGGTGTGTCTCAGATCAACTCGTTTTGAAGCTGTCTCTTTAAATCCATGAGTCCCGCCCTAGCTTCCAGAGTGATCCATTCTAGTTTGAAGGAGGGCTTTACGACTATATAGCTGCAACCAGTGACATAATAGTTCAGAAAACTTCACAGAGAGCAGGTTGAAAAAAATATGAGCCAAACAGATTTAAAGATATCAGGAGAGACTAAATGCAACTTTTCTGCACTCCCATGTACACAACACAATTAATTTAACAAGTAAAAAAAGTGGCTATTTGCCTGATGTTTCACTTTCAAAAACAAGTAATCCTAGTAGTAAAACATAACTTCAGACAGTCTGTTTCCTTCTTTAGTTCAAGGTTTTTTGACTAAAGAATTTGCAGAATTTTTAAATGTAAAATGCTCTGAAATTAACTAAAACTTAAAAGTATCAACTGAAAAAGGAGCTGATTGTTTTACATGCCAACATCCGTGCCTAACGTCAACAAAAAGCAAGCTAATGAACAAAGGAGCGGAACAATCCTGCCTATAATGAAGCACGGCAGAGGGTGCATCATGCTGTTCACTCACTCCACTAAAAATCTGAAGATTAAGGTGTTTTAAAAAGAAATACAGTTTCAAAAAAGTCTAAAAGTTGTGTTTTCGGCAGGAAAATGAATTGAACGTCACATCTAACGGCACAAAAAATGGTTTTAAACCCAGATTTCAAGAAAAAAACATTGAGACAAATGTTAAATTAAAGAAAATGAGTTGCATTAAAAAGTAGTAGCGGGGAAGAAGAACCAGCAGGCAAGTATGTAAAAATTAAATGTTACTAATGGAATTCTGAATTTAACTTTTATTATTTTAGCTAAATATCAGAATGAAACCAACAGCAGCTGCTTCTAGGGGGTTCTCAAACCTTTTGGGTCTGGGGACCCCTTACAATGGTGAAAAACATTCCAGGGACCCCCTCATAAACCCCATGCTGTTTTAAAAGATAATTTATTGTCATTTCAACCCCTAAATGCCACGGGAATATATATTTTTATTTAGTTTATTATGTTTGTTTTATTAGTTCATTATTCTTCATGCATTTTTAAAAATAAAAACCAAATAAACAATTTAGTGAAATTTTTTGAGGACCCCCAAGATAACTCTCGCGGACCACTGGAGGTCCTGAGACCTCAGTTTGAGAACCTCTGTTGTGGACAGTGTGAAAAGATGGTTTTATAAACAATAACAAATGTAGGATTTTTTTAGACACAAGAAACACTCACCACAGCTCGGCTCGTCGTAACAGTAGTCCTCTGTGAGACACACGTTTCAAACGGTCAGTTCTTTCTCATTTAAACAAGTTCTTACGTTCTTTTTTTTCTTTTAATCTCACCTGGGTCGGCGCAGGAAACGAGCACCACGAGGAACGCCGCGGTCCAGATCATGGTTGCTTCCCGGCAGGTGTCAGGATCTGAGGTGGGCTGAGAGACCCCCGCAGGAGCTTTAAGGAGAACAGGAAGGTGAAAGCCGAGTTTTATGGCCTCCTGGTCTGACCGGTGAACTGTGTCATTACCAGTCTAGTGGTCTTTTCTGATCAACGGGCTCATTGATGCGAGGACAGCTTTGGCCCCACACACACACACACACTCACACTCACACACACACACACACCAGCCCTCCTCCCTCTCTGCTGCAGCCAGTGGAGATGCTCATTGACTAATAACAAGACCCATTCATCTCCTGGGAACACCAGAGAATGTACTGAACCGAGGCTATAAGGTGCTCAGTTCTGGAGATGAATTCACTTTAGATTAAAACAAACGTAGGTCCAAATCTAAAACGGTTCTGCTCTTCAGCATCTCGACTGAGCGGCTCAGCGTCACATTTGACGTCTCCTCCGTCCGAACAGAGATTCTGTCACAACTTGACCCGTAGAAACAAAGCCTCTTTTCTTCACAGACAACACTCTCCAGCCGGGTATCACTCTCTCCGCTCACCCCCCACTGTTCTGACCTTATGAGTCACTCTGAGGTGCATTATACACTGCTTCCTTAAAGAAAAAAAAATTTAAATCTTTTGATGTTTGAGCTCCATGTTGGGGGTGGATTTCCCTGACATTTGGTCACGGCGGCAGGAGGAATTCCCTCAAGTGGCTAAATGTCACGAAGGATTAAATGTATATCTCAGCACAGAAAACACACAGGCTTCCTTACTTCTTCTTCTTTTTTTTTTAATTTAAAGGCTATCAAATAAGAGACAATGAAATGTAGCATTAGTTGATTTACATTTAAAACATTTTAAACCCCTGCTTAAATTGTTCTCGAGCACAGAAACTACAGTAAGGAAACGGGAAGTGGCTCACAGATGCTGAAGCATGTGCAGGAGATTTTTAAACCTACTGTCCAGCTAAAACCTTTCATCCAAATGGGGGGGAGGGGGGGCACGCCAAAAAAAAACTAAACAAAAAAATAATGCACCAAAAGGTACGTTAAATAAAAACTAAGAAAAAGAAAATCTTTGAATCGCACATGCACAGGTTATGAAAACCGCCTGTCCTGACAAATCCACAGTGGATTGTCAAAACAAAAATAAAATAAAAAAATTAATTTAAATGAAAGAAACAAGCTTAACAATGAAAATAAAAAAATATTATTATACATTCAGTACATTCAAACAAAAGATCCATCACGTTTACAGACTTTTCTTTTTTTACCCAGGGTCGGATAATGAGTTTGGATGCTGGTGGAGGAGCTTCACCGGCCCGAAAACGTCCTCAAAACTGCGTCAAATCCATCAAACGATTGTCGTCAATCTATTCCTAAATATACAATTCATTATTATTATTATTATTTTTTAAACGCATATCTTTGAAAGTGTAAAAAGAATTAAAGCCAAAACGTAAAAACGACAAAAAGAACCCGTGGAAACACAACGGGGGGCAGCATCCAAAAAAAAAAATCATCATTTTATCCTCACAAATAAAACGATTTAATGAGTTCATGACTGTACAAAACACAGAACAGTTCAGTAGGAAAAAACGTTCAGCAAATATTTCATTTGAAGGATTACTAATGTTTGGGACAGTTTTTAAAAACTATATATATTTTTAATTTAAGACAGGAATCTTTACTTTTACTTGAAAAGTTTTTGCGTCAGAGATGAAAATAGAAGTCAGTCTACGCCTATCCCACAATCAGATAACCCAAACTAAACCCTACAATGTTTATTGAAACACAATATTAAAATCATAATTACCAGTACCACCGCAGCCTTCTGATCGCTGTCGCCCCATGAAACCCCCGAAACAGCAAACACTCTTATCTGAACTACAAAAATGTTTTCTTCTGCGAATCAGAACCAGAAATTCTGGAAGACAGTCTTGTGTGTCCGACAGTAAAAGTTTGAGGGGGAAGTTATTTGTTTTTGTTTTGATGAGCAAACAGAATCAGGGTCTGGGGTCATGCAGCAGCAGACAGTCAGGATGTCACTGAAGCCTGCAGGACGATTCAGACGCATCGTTTTAAAAGTGTGATGCAAAAACAAAACGCAGCACAAGCAATAAAAGCTGCGCTCACTGGCGCCGTGTCGACCCGCCGTGGACAGGAACGTACGGGCTTTTACCTCCAGGAGAATTTACAGCAGGATTTTATTTATTTATTTTTATTTTTAATCCAGTCAAGCCATTTTTTTGTTTTGTTCTGCACACACACAAAAAAAGTCTCATCCAGACTGTGCAGCTTCTCCTCTCTGTACACAGTCAGTCATTTTTGCTCCCATAAGATCCGGTGTTTACAAAAAAAAAAACACTTTGAAAAACAGGTGTCTTGAGGGAAAAAAGAGCTTTCTGAAAAAAAGAAAAAGAAACGCAGCTGCTCCTGTTTTTGATATGTCTGTACAAACATGAAGTCCCCTCCCTGCAGTCAGTGTTACAGTCTGCAGCCCGTCCTGGAGCCGAACACGCTGCACCCATGACAAATATCCAGGTGCAGCTCCTACACCACCGTGCTGAGCGAGGAGCTGCAGTCTGAAGGCAGAGCGCTGGGGGCGTGGCCATCTGTTGGCGTGTCGGGCCCCACCAGGAGGGTGCTGCTATCTATGGAGTCCTCCCGCTCTTGAGAGGATGGCACTGAAACTGGCACGGGGCCGAGACCGGGGGGAACGTCGGCCTGGAGCCTGTCTCCCATGGTGTTCATCTGGCTCGGCACCACAGAGACCCCGCTGTGTCCTGGAGGTGACGACAGAAAGCAGGAGTGATTAGAGCTTAACACTCCATGAAACTATGAATTAACCCATGTGGAGGTTTATACTTAACAAAAAAGTGTGAAACAACTGAAAATAAAAGAGGTTTAAGTCAAATTTGGTCAAAATGACCTCATTACATTTTCAGATTCCTGGCTTTAAACACTATATTTTGATACCTGGATCATTCTGACATGCTAAGTAAATCCATATTTATGTCTTGATGCTTACAATAATATATAAACATTTGATCTGAATCCTAATTTTATATCATTTTAATGAGGAATTTTTGCTGTCTTTATAAAGAGGAAAACTCAAATTATGTGAATATTGAGATTTCCCAGCTGAAAAGAAGCAAAAACTTTGCTAGCTCACATGGAAAATCTTAAAATTTTAATTTTTTTCCCTCAAAATCAGTTTTTTTGTTGCAACTGCTTCAAAAATTTGGTATATGTTTATATTTCATACAGTTAATTCAAATGATGCATTGATAAGGCATTAATTCATTACGTTTTCACAAAATGCAATTTTTGCAACCGTTTTAATCAAAACACTATGTTTGCCTATTATATATGTTATAACGATTCGTTTTTTGATGGGTCACAAATGTCTTATATTCTAGGCTTTTCAAAGTAGTCACCTTCTGCTTTGATTACACACTTTTTTGTTAACTATATAATTCCATATATATATATATATATATATATAAAAACATGCACTCACCGAAGTCTACGTAGAGAAGACTGTCTGGGTTGATGGAGGCCTCGTATGGAGGAGGGGGGTCGTCTGGGTGGTGGATGTCGGGGTATTTGTAGGCTGCGTATGGAGGCGGGGGCTCCTGGAAATGAAAAGCACCTCCCTCTCCGTCATCAGACAAATGAAGAGGAGTGAGACCGGTACCGAATGCATCCGGGCCGTAGTCAAAGCCCGGGACTCGTCTTCCGAGGTTAAAATGGTGCACTGTGCGAAAAAAACAAAACGTTTGCATTTATGATATTACAAACATCACTCTGAATGCAGTTTGTCTGAATCGTACTCACAGTTGCCTCCGATCAGCGTCTCAATGCGTTCCCGTCTTCTCTGGCGAAGTCTGTGCACCATGAAGAGCAGCAGAGAGAGGATGAGGAAGGACGAGATGCAGCTGACGATCAGCCTCATCCCGCTCGCCATCGAGTCGAACAGACTGTTTCCATCTGCGGGGGGGAGCGAATGGCACGGTTAAACACGGCATCATCCGGTGATCAATAAACAGCGTGACCCAAGAGGCGCCTCTCTCCAGCGGTACCTGGATCCAGGCAGGTGAACTTGCAGCACTCTTTGGGGTCTTTCCGGAAGTGCTGGCAGCCCTGCGGCCGCTCGCACAGCGCCGCCACGCACATCTCCGCCTCGCCGTCGTGACACGTGCAGCTCAGGCACGGGTCGTTTCCCTTCGGGGTGAAGGAGTAGCCCTCGGTCACCACGTTGTCTTTAATGTCCACGCAGGTTTGTCCTGTGGATGTGAAACAAGACAAACGGTCAGAGAAGCTCCCAGCAGGCCCATCGGTCACCAGACGTGAGCAGAACGAGCACATACTCCTCTTGCACAGGAAGGGGAACTTCTTGTAGCAGTTCTCAGCGTGCCAGCTGTGCAGGCCTCGGTCGTTCATGTTCTTGAGCTGGAAGCGCTGCAGCTGAGCGCAGAAGACGTTGTCCTGAGATGACGTCTCCCCGATCTTTGCGAGATCTTCGGGAGGCAGAAACACCTGCACGGACCCTATTAGGAAACATAAAACAGGAACTTAGAAAACTCATCTGAGCAATAAAAAAAAGACTAGACTTTTTGAAAAGTCACTACCTTTGTATGCTACTTCCCAGCGACCCTGTAAGGTGTGGCTCTGATTGGTGATCACGTACTGATAGCCCACCCAAAACCTGGAAGAAACAGAAAACTTTTTCAGTTTATGAATTAACCTCTTAAACCCCGAGGGGTTTTCTTAAAGTTTTTGCTCAAAATACCAGGCTGAAATGTAATTGAGCGTATCTCAGCATTTACAAACTCTACTTAAATGATCTTGGTATCAAAATAAAGCTAACACTTGGGAGATTTCATCAGAAGTTTAAGTATTCAAACAGCTGCTGTGGTTTTAGGGATATTGGGGATGAAACATAATTTTTTTCACTCTCAACTGAATAATTTTGCATTATATAATATATAACCCATTTAAAACCATAATGAATCAGTCTAAAACTCTTGTAAACCATAAATCCACTTGTGGACATTACCTGTGCAAAGATTCATGCTGCTAAAATGAACTGGAGCAAAGTTAGAGGTTTTAATAAATAAATAATTTAGCATGTTGTCATTCTGAACAGGACAGACCATGTTGGTACCATAAAAAAAATGTTAAGAAATCTGAAGTTTTTACATCCAAAAGTTATTTATTTTTTCTTATCTGCCTGAAAAGACTTGTTATTAAATGTTTGTTCTTTTGAAAAATTATCCAAACATTTATTCGCCACCATATATATTATATAAAAAATTGAGAAATTATATTTGACTTCAATTGGATCATATTCACTCAAAACCAAGTATAAAAAAACTTTCAACCCACTTTACAACATATTTAGGTATCTACTTTGACTTCCTTTTAAAAAAATGTCAAAAATCTTTCCTTTACAGATTTGTTGTAATGTATTTACGGATTGGCAATTATGCCATTTTGTACAGTTTGTTTACTTTCTGATTAACTGCTTGACGTTTGAAGTGTGTTTGGTGGATATAAAAATAGTTTCCATGAGCTTTTAGTCAACTTTATTAGGTTTATTTTGATACCAAACACAACCAGGTTCAACTAATACATCTGAAGTTAAAAGAAGTTAAAAGAAATAGAAAAAGGAAAAAGCTGTTTTGCAACAGGTTAACTGATTTCTACCACTAGAGGGCCTATGACCAATATCAGAACACAAGCACTTCCTTACCTCTGATTAGATTTATCAAAATCTACATCACAAAAAAACTAAAATAACTCAGGAAGTAGAGAAATATCAGTGAAGCACATCACAAACAGAACTCCTTATATTCAGTATATAAAGTAGGAGACTGCGCTCAGGGTGAGCTCTGAGCTGAGTAAACACTAAACCACCAACAGTCAGCTTACATGCACTGGTCTCTGTGCTCGCAGACATTCTCATCGAAATCCACCTCGATCTTCAGGATGAACTGCAGCTCCTCGTTGGTCACAAACGTGGCCAAAGAGCCGTTGACCTTCTGACACGTGTCCACGGCCTGCCAGTAGTTCTCCTTCCTCAGGTACACTTTGTAGCAGCTGGCCGTCTTCTCGTAGTGGTGCCACCCGCTGGGACACTTTTCTAAAGACAGGGAGGGGGGAAACGTTTGACGCCCGCCTTGGATGAAGGCCGTATTCGTGACGGGCTGAGAGCGGGAGAAAGGAGCAGCTTACTGTTGAAGCGTACGGGCTGAGGCACGCCGATGACGTCTTCCACCTGCTCGTATCCGTTCCCGAAACGAAACCGCTCCTCCTTCACAGCTGCGAGCCAACACAGAAAACCCACTCACTAATGTGAAGATATTTAGAGCGGATTTGTGTGCTAACTGTCAAAACGTTAACATGCTTTTAACGTTAAATCACTTTTAACTCTGCAGGACGTCAGTGCTGTGCACACAGATGAATAAATCATTTTCGTCTCTTCACCTGCGAGATCTCCTGATGCTCTAAAAGTTTTTTACTCCCTCCACCCCGACAGTAAATATTCTGTCTGCGTGTCAAACCTCACAGAGCTGTTCTTGTTTTTACCCCAACTGGGTGTTTACTGCTTTATAAAGTTTCTGCCAGCATCACTGGAACAGACCGCTCCACTTTTCTGCATAATTCAACCCAAATAATCCAAAACAAAACCACAAATTGTCATGCACGCTGTTTTATTTATTGGTTTAGTCAGTTATTTGCAGAGGTATGTTTCAGCTGTTTTCTCTTTAATAAATAGTGCATTTGTGCCGTTTGACTGTTTTAGCGGATAATAAAAGAAAAGAAAGGTGTTATCTTTATCAGTCATTGCTGCTTCCTGTTCAAATAACAGTCTTTTTCTGAAGAACGAAGAGTCCAGACTATAATCTGATGTAGGCCTGCAACTCAAAGCAAGCCCAGAGACTCGTGTATGGAGGTCACATGCTGTGCTCAATCCTTTCAGTAATTCCCGTTAGGCGATCAGAGATCTGGGGATAATTCTTATGGATATGAGGGGAAAACAAAAGGATTTTGGTCAAAAGGCTTAACACAGAGTCATCTATACACCGTCGAGGAGATCAACAGTCTGTAAACAAACACAGAGACTCAGAATTTAACCTTTTACTGTCTGTTTATTCATAGTGCAGTGCTTCTGTTTGTCAGTTCACTGATAGTTAATCAGCTGAACTAATTTATGTGTTGTGTATAAATAATAATGATATTAAACAGAGTAGCTGTGCAGTGCTAGTTGTCCTTGTACAGTTACAGTAGTTTCCTGAAAGCGTTTTCCCATCTGTATTTATTTGCTAATTAAAGAATCTGTAGCTGAAATTATCCACTTTAGTCTTTAGTGACTTTGAAATGTTTGAACTGTGGATAATCTTCCAGTGATAAACGTGATCCTAACTGTGCTAGCTTTTTTATGGTGTTTTTTAGTAATAGATTAGCATTGATGCTAATTATTGGTCCTCAACGTGATTCAAAGTGCTTTCTGAATGGTTATAGTGCACTCTATTATTATTAAAATGTGACTGGCGTGTAAGGCACAAAGGTGTTTTTTAAAGGGCTTTAGTGTGTTGTTCTTACCAGGACAGTCCATCTCGTCACTTTTGTCCTCACATGCTGTCCAGCCGTCACACTTCCAGGACATGGGGATACATTGCATCTTCCCGCTGCGGCAGGCGAACTGCCCGGGGTTGCAGCGCTGCTCTGAAATACAACAAGACGGTTCGAGCGGTCAAAAATGTGCGTGGAACGATAAAAACGACACTAAGTGGGCTTTAAATGAAGTGGAAATATGGGGCGAGACACACCTAAACACTCTGTATTAATCCGCCCGACTCATATTTACAGACACACAAACTTTCAGTCATTCTGACCTCTCACTCATTTGACAAACCGGAGCAGCCAAGGAGAAAAAAAGAGAACACGTCTAAAATTATTCAGTCAGCAGCTGCTTCTGATTTCTGCTACAGATGCAAATAAACCACAGAGGGAACGTTTAGTTTGTCGCAAATCTGCAGACAAGTCTAATCTTGTCTTCAAGCAACTGTTTTGTGTTTTGAACTGGATGTTGATCTGTTTAAGAAAAGTCATTTATCATTTTTCCACAAGATCAGGCAGCTGAAGATAAAACAGCACCACTTTGTTTGGAAACTTGTCACCAAGTCAGGAGTTTTAGAGACAACTGGGTAAAAAAACAAAAGAAAAAAATAGACCCATGTATGACCCATCCCTGGATGTTTGTCCAAATGTCGTGTGCTTTATTTGATCAACAAAATTAACTGAACCTTCCCCACAGTAAAAAAATAAAATAAAATAATTATCGATTAGCAAGCAGAGCATAAACAAACAGGACTTCTTGTTGTAACCCTGTGTTTGGCTTTAAAAGGAACTCAGCAGTCAGAGTGTTGGGAAATGACTCCTCTATTGAGAAATCTTTCTGGAAATATCAACCTCATGTGAAACCAAGAACTGGTTGCTTCATCTGGAGGATTTCAAGCTGGTAGTTTATTCTTCTAACAAAATAAAAAAAACTACACTAAAGAAACAAACTGCTTGCTTACCTGACAATAATCTTGCCAGGGCTAGCCTCGGACCTGAAACAAATAAAAACAAAAGAGTGACTATCCTATTTATCAGTAGGTTTTAAGTTTACCAAAAATAAATAAATAAATAAATACAAAACTAATTTCAGGTCGTCTCAGCAGCTTTCTGGTGTTTATTGGTGAGGTTTGTGTGTTTCTAACACAAAGATGGATCACCTGCTCGCTTGTCAAATTTGGAAAATGTTTCGAGAAAAGCTCTGGGCTGTTTCAAGGCTTTGCTTTTTGTTTCACCTGAACAATAACAAATAACCCCCCCACACACACAAAAAATACTTGTTCTGACTGTTAGTTTGGTTTGAACAAATTGGTTCAAAACAAACCCAGCAAAGGTCACACGGTTTAATAATTACCTAAAGAATGAAGTTCACTATCATTATTGGTTATTTATTAGGGACAAAAACAAAACACATAAGCTAATAAAAACAGCTCTGTTGTAATTATTAAATGATTATAGGTAATGGAAAATAGTAACCTGCAACACTTGACCCTAGATGGGTTCTTAAAGAATAAAAAGTTAAAAGAAAATTATCAGAAAATAATGAAATAAGTTGAAATATGAGCTTGTGAAACCTGTATTTAAAAATATCCATTATTTGATAAATACATACAAGAGTAAGTTTGATGTTTGAGGGACAGATTTTGGACACTTTGTTGTTATTTTTCTTAGTTTTTCTTGAATATTCACCTCTCTGCTGATGCAACAACAGGAATCTTCCCAGCGAGGGTAAAATAAAATGATTTTTTTTATATTCTGTTGAATATTTCTCAAACAACAACACATTATCACTAGGTTATAAAATAACTTGGCTGGTCAAGCTTCGAAAAATCTTTAGAAATCAGTGATGCAACATGATGCTGAACTAATGATACTAAAAAAAGTGAATCAGTACTCTGAAATCTGACCAGATCAGTCTACGAAGAGCGTTTTATACTCCTCGGTGGTTCATCCTGTCGTCGGTGATGCTAAGTGGACCGAGATGCATTACAGGCCCGTCTCTGCCTCCAGGGACTGAATGTTTTATAACAGAGTGATGATAACATTAGACAGGGATTTAAAATATATTACTGAGAACTATTAATAAGAAATGCTTATATTTATGGAGAATACCTGTTAAAAAAAGTCACAATGAATGATTTTCATAAAGATTTTTTAGCAAAACAACGAGGAAATTTGTTTAATATTAATAATTTAACCATCTCACTTCTTTGTTGCTACATATTCTTGTCCCAGAAGCACAAAATAATTGTCCAGTTGGCCTCTCTGATGCATCTGAGCTCCATCTGAAACCTGACTGATTATCATTATTCATGAATTCTGCACATTTCTGATAACTGTACTGAAGAAATCACACAGGAGCAGACGTTATTCAGATTAGGGCTGCCACAAACGATTATTTTAATAATCGATTAGTCGTCGATTAATCATGGCAACCCTAATTCAGATGGCGGATCTTAAGGTGATCAGATATGACTGGCTGGATGCATGGTTTCAGGTATAAACAGATGAAATTAGTTTAGATCAATAGCAGCTTCAAATTAAAGTCTATCACTACAATAACTTGTTATAATCGGAACATTACGATGACTGGGATGAATTACTTTAATTTCATGTAGTTAAAATTAGTTTGAGCTCTTTTTTTCTCACTTTGGTTTGACAAGGGTTTTTTATTTTACTGCATGTATTGTTTGTCAATGAGAGAACCTTGATCGTGATTAATTAAAAGTCCAAGGTGAAATGACATGACGCACAGGGAATAATGTCCACGGTTAATAATGAAAAAAGAATGGACAGAATAAATGAGGTGCAGATTTACTGTAAAGGTTGCTGATCTTTTTATTAAACCAAGCATTTATGCCACATCTTTCAGGATGTTTTACAATCACTGCACCAATAGGGAAATAGCCTTTTAGCTGGAGGCTTTGAGAAAGAGGCTAACCCTTTTATATTCCCAAAAATGATAAAGGTTTTTGTAGAAGCCAACTCTCTACCTAGGGTAGTAAGTGTCCCAAATCACCATTTTACCCATGTCCCACTTTGGTAAATAAAGGAATATACAAATTTATGTCAAGCTCATTTAACATAAAGAGAAAGGGTCTTTTAAATAATATTTCTGCTTTTATTAAATTTAAGCAGAGACTCAAAAGCTTTGCTCAAAATACAAATAATTCTCCAGTAGAAGAGCTACGTAAAATAAAACCAAACTTAATATCTCCTGGTTGAATTAGCAAAGGTAAACTGAATAAAAACCTTCTCTTACAGAACATTTTTTCTCCCACAAGGCTTGGATTTTTGGATGCACCTACATGATTTGCCACACTAAAAGTGTGTCTGCGCGTCTCTTATATAACCGTGAGGAAAAATACAATAAAGCCCATGAAGACGGCCCAACTCGGTTCAGCTGAAGTATAACGGCACAGCAAAGCGACCTTGTGCAGACGCAGCACCGTCTCCTGCCTCTGATGATTCATCGCCGAGGTTTGCTGTTAAAAGCAGTGAGTGGGTACAGCCGTTCGGTCTCTTTTTGTGCCACCTCACATTTAAAACCCGTCATTATTCTCCACGCTGGGTTTTTGAAAGAGCTGCTGTCAATTCTGTTCAACAACTACACAAAGTAAAAAAAATGATTTTTTTATTTCAAGCTACTTCTGGTATTTTAATAGACTAACAAGAAGTTAATCGGTTTTCTTTCTTTTTTTGAAAATCTTCACAGTTTCACTTCTAATGTGACATATTTAACACTGAAAATGGGAAGTATAGCACCACTGTGGCGTACATCATGACATGTTTGTTTCATAGACAGATCTGAGAATACAGTGCACACATTTGAGTGGAATAAAAGAAATAGTTTCAGCCCAAGCCCGTACAGTTTAAGAGTCACTTTTTTAAATGAAACTGTGTTGATATGAGCCATAAAAACCAGGAGGTTCCCGTATCATCGTACAGATAATCTGCAACTGACACACACTACTTCCTTCACAGAGCAATGAACTAGAGACCCCTATAAGTAACAAAAAGATGTAAAATGATGCCAGACAAAAGCGGAAATAATACAATTTCACTCCTTAAGATATGAGAGTAGCACAGGTCGAATTATCAGCTTCATGGAAAATAAACTAAACATTCCTCAAACAAATGATGCTGCGACCTTTAGCTCAAACAGCTTCTGTGTATTTTGCTCTAATATGTTGACAATATTTCCCATGTTGAGTCTTTTTAATCTTAACCCAAAACCGTCAATAAACTAGTTCATTTCAAACTATTCTGACCACAGAACCACAAAGCCTCCTGAGAGTTTGGTCATGTGTTTGACCAAGTCTGCGTTTACATTTGTCATCTGATAGATACATCGTGCATTGTGATTGTCATATGGCGACAATAATAATAATAATTTAAAGTCAAACATAAAACCCATCTGCAGTGCCCAAGAGAAGGGAGCGCAAACGAAGCCTTCTTAAATAGGAAAAGGTATACACGCAGTTAAACGCCCTAGAAAATGGCCCATGACACAAAGTGTGCTGAGGTTCACGTCAAATGATTAAATAAAACCTCTATACACAGCCCAAAATATCATCACCCAAACAACCAGCAGAGGTTTCAAAAACACGAGCCTGATGAAGTCCAACGTGTGCAAAAGTTGACCTTCACTTTTAACATCGCTCACTCAAGTTATACAAACAAACAAGTGTAGCGCTGATTCACATTTTAGCTCATTTTTAAAAACTGAATTCGATGACACACCGAGGCTGGCTGCAAACAAGATTCCAAATAGGGACGAGCTGTTGCCAAATAACCATTCATCAGCAAAATGAAAAGTGTGTGCGTATTTATTTGTTTGCCGTCCAGGGAAGAGGTCAGTTCTCTGGTTAGAGCCGAACAATAATGAGTTTATCCATGAGCCGAACTGATAACAGTTTCTCTAATCCACACAATTGGCAGGATCACAAAACCAGCCCTGGAGGAGAGACTACAAGATGTGTTTGTACTCCTGCAGCTTAAAACCAATACCAAAATGATTTCTTTCTAAGCACAAACACAAGTCCTAAATGGCCTTACACTGTTATTGTTTGATGCATAGAACATTTATCTAAACATATAAAATGGTTTCATTCCAGCAAATAGATGCTTTTTGAACAAACATGGAGAAAATACGTGCATGCTAGTTTGTGTTTTCTTAAGATTATATTTTCCTTGGTAGGTGTTGCATTTCTAGTTTTTAACATGTGGGAAGAAAATCAAGTGTTATGACATATAATTACACTTTATCTGTCTAAGGTTTAGTGGTGACGCTCAGTGTGAGTCAGGTTTGGTGATGCAGGAGGTCGTGCATTAAAAATTACAGCTTCAGCAATAAAAAACACACACATAATGAGACCTTTGCGTTTAAATGAATGAAAATGATCATGCTTCATATGTCTGGTATAACTCCCCAATACAAATAAATAAATGGGCCAAAGTTGTCTTTTATAAACAAGTAAGTGTTGCACGTTTGGGTCTTTGTAGAAACTATAATTTAGAAGTACTTTATCCGTATTAAATGTTAAAGTCTGGCTGTTTGATTTGGCCTACTTAAAAATAACAAAATAAAAACATCCGCAGGGCGCGCACAGTAAAGGCGGTCAAGAGTAGCAGGAACGCGGTTAGAGAAGCAACTAGAGTCCGAGGATTGCCCGACAGGCCTCCGCGCCTGACCTGCAGCCCTTTGCTTCCAGCTCTAATCTGCACGTCCCACGGGAATGTTTTGGTCACAGGAAGGTAACTAAATAAAATAACAATTATTAAAAACGTTTTACCTGTCCGTGGTGGGTCCGTCAGAGTGAGGACGAAGAGAAGAGAGAAGAGAAGGAAACTGCTGCTGTCAGCCTTCGGCAACATTTATCCTCCATTCATAGTAACTCCTCTATTCAGAAATTTAAAAATATACCCGTGGATCTGCAACGCCTCCGCCCTCTCCGAAATTATTACGGCCAACACTTAACGCAGTTTCCATCCATTTTCACGCACTCGTGGCGTCGACTAACCAAGCAAAACGACGTAAATAGCGCATAGTCGCAGCAGTCAGCGACAGAGATTGAAGTTAATCTGGTTGAGATGCTAACGTTTAGCTAGCCTTCGTCCGTCGGTGCGGAGCGCCGTTCTTTCAAGATGGCCGCGGACTCCTGTTCACAACAATCCCAAACATGCAGCGAAGCAGGCAGGACATCAGCTGGAGGTGCTGCCGGGGCGGAGTTTAACTCCGTTTATAAACAGACCGTGTGTGCGCGGACCGGGTGGAGCCTCCAGGAGAAAAATCACCTTTTTATTATAAATGTAAAAATAGAGGGTGTCAGGAGACGTAGCAGTAGAGGGCAGGGTGTTTTACACAATTATATGACCTCTACAACATAAGACACAGGGTGGATACATTATTTTATTTTTTTATTAATAAGTAATAAGAATTACACAAACCCTCACACATCAATATCTTAAATAGGTGTTGCTATCTTGAATTTGTAAGTGAAATATTTTACTAACTCATACATCTTAATTTCCACTTTATCAGTGAAGTACATTAAATAATATTCTTGTGTTTTAACTAAACTCTGGAGGTGGGGGTTATTGAACTCTTTGGCACGTAAATGGAGTTGCACAGGCAGAAATCTATCATTTAGGATTTTTGAATTTCAGATTTCTGATTTAAAAATCTAGTTTGTTTTTTTTAAGTGGACTCAACAGTGGACCGGACTGAGCTCAGTCACGGGCCATATGTAGCCCACAGGCCACCAGTTGAACAGGGGCACTGCTGGCAATGTTAGAAACAAATATGTAACTATAAATGGGCCATCTCATAATAATTAAAATTGATTTTTAGAAACATAATTTTGTTTAAACTTCTTTGAAGAGATTGCAGACTCAGTTTTTCAGGTAAAAACTTAAATGCTGTACATAAGAAAATCATTTATTTATAGTGAAGTTACTGGATACCTTACAGAAGAGCTTTAGGACCACTGGGGAAAAAAAAGAATTCTGACTTTCCTCTATTTTTTCAGCGGCCCTAATCTTCCGTAAGACCTTGTATTTTTTTTTTTTTGAGTTCTATTTTTTAATGTGTCATCACACAGTTTATTTGTTTGCAAGTCAAACATGGACATGTCACTTCCTTATTTATTCTCAGAAACCATACATTACCAAAAATCTATTAATCTAAGAGAATGGAGACCAAGATGTGTTTCACAGCAAAGCTTATCAAAAAGTAAAAAAACAAAATTCTCCAATCCACTGTACACATTTTTAATCAATATTTACAACACATATGTGCTCTTATTTTGAAAGCTGTTGCGGTTCCATACATTGTAACAAGTCTTTTGCTTTACAATCTGAGCAGAGAGGCTATTTTTAGAAGAAGTCGGATGCCTTCCTTCTCTTGGGAAGCTGCAGCAGATTGTCTGTGAGGGACGTGAGGTCCTGAGAACTCGGGGTCTTGGCTTTGTTTGGTGTCGGTGTTCCCGAGGGAGTGGCCGGCCCGTTGAAGGGAGTCTTGCAGGGAGTGACTCTGTGTGAGGGGGAAGGGGTGTAACTCGCCCGCAGTGCTTTGTCCGTGTATTTGCTAGATGTCCGATTTACAAGCCGCTGCAGAGCGGGGGTGAGGGCCGGGCTCAGACCTTTAGGTGTGAGGCTGCAACACAAAAAATGAAATCCTCTGTTAGCGCAGGGTGGCACTTTCTGCATGAATGCACCAACAGGAAACAATCTGACAAGAGTACTGAACTGAGATCTAATCGAAAGACAAGAGAGGTGCTACCTTGCGAGGTTTTCCGTAACTTTTCTCAACGCTTCTTGTTTCTTTGCGCGGTTTTTAGCGGCAGCTTCGTTAGCCATCTTCAAGCCCAACCGTTCTCTTCTTCCTGGCTCGGGAATCTTTAAAAAAAACAACAACAAATATTGTCAACATTTTACAACCTAAACTCTTAGCATGACTGAACAAGAACATCAGATTGGTAACCACCTTGAATGACGGGCCGTGGTTCCTCTCAACATACGGAGTGTCTGATCCATCCAGACGAAAAGGGGTGCTCTCAATCTCACCCCAGGTCATCAGAGGTGACTCAGCAACACCTGAGGGAGGTTAAAACTTTTAGAAAAATACTCAAAACAAAGCAGTGACGTGATTATAAACAAGGCCTGGATCTCGTCTTTCAAACAGCAAGCAGTTTCACGTTACGGCTGATTTGTAATAGTGATTTAAACTACTGAAATGTCACTTCAAGGCATTAAAAACCATCAGAATAAGTTATTTATCCTTGTTTACAAAATCTTAAATGGTAAAAAAAACTAGATGGCAAGAAATTTAGTGGACTAAGCTGCTCAGGTTTAATTTACAGACCCACCTGGTGCTGGGGACGGAGTCCTTTCATAACCGTACCCGTTAACTTTTGGGGAGTCGTGTGGTATGAGCTCTTTCCCATCAGGCCCCACTTTGCCCTGTTTGAACTACAAACAAACATCTTGCATAAGCAGCGTCATTCAAGCAAACGCTTTCCAGAAAACGAGTGAGCCCAACGTACCTGTGCGTTGAGAGCCGCGGCTTGTTGAATCTGACTTTTGTTGAGAGCTTTGCTGAACGGATCCCCAACAAATCGAGTGTTTTTGTGAACTACCTCTCTTGGCTTCTTAAATACAGCGTCGTCGTCTTTAACGCCTATAAAAGGGAACAAATAGGGTCATTCTTTCTTGTAGCGTAGTTTAGTGAATTTTGAGAACATTTTATTAGGAAAACAAAAACCGTGTATGATCTCCCCACCTTCTGGATAATACATCAAGGCGTTCTTTGCTTTGTACTCCCATGTCTCCAGTCCGGCTTTGACACATTCAAGAGCAGCTTTCTCTGCGGACGGCAATGCGAGGTTCTCTTCATGGCGCTAAAAACAAATTCAAAAAGGTTTTTGATAATGTCCTTTAGGGTTGGGCAACACCATATTGTGCGCAATTTATCATCAGAAAAACTGTCAACAATTAATATTTTCCACACTGCACTTAGTGCCATGTGACGACGATGTATTCTTGTGTATGATCCACTTTCACTATCATGTACGCAAGGAAGCCCAGTGGTTGAAGGCAGCACAGAGCAACTAATGCTGACCCCTAACCCTATAAACTTGTTAAATCATCTGATACACTGACATAAACCAAGGCCACATTGGCTACATGATAGCAGGGCTGTAAGAAAATATACACACTAATATTGTAGTATTTCATTTCCTGACACTGTTTTGATTCTCAAAAGCACAGTATAGATTTTTACTTAAGCCTTAATGGACAGTAAGAAGAAATGTGAAATACACATGTAGTTGTCAGTGCTGTTTGGTGTTCTTCTGACTGCATAAAATAAATTTAATTTAATCAGATTTTATGCATGTAATATATCAATGATTCCCAACCAGGGGTACGTGTACCCCTTGGGGTATGCAAGCATATTACAGGGGGTAAGTGGAAACATTTCCCAGGTGTGTAAAAAAAGTAAATAAGAATAGGGTCTTCTGCAGAAAATGCAGACGGAATTACGAAATTAACACAAAATATTATCCAGTATATAAAATGTGGACTCTCGCAGAATTTGCTCATTTGGGTGAGTTTCTGATGTATTTTGGACAACACAATGTATACGGGATGCTGCTGTTTTCTGCACCTGGTTTATTTAATTAATTGCTTATTCACTTTAAAGGCAACCTTTTTATATTTCTGTTTAATTTGAATTGAAAAAAGGGAAAGGCCTGAGAATTAGGGGGTTAAATAAATAATTTTCATTTAATAATCAGTTGTTTATATATTATAGTTTTGGAGAATCATCGTTATGTTTGACTGAAGGGGTACTAGTGGTATGACAAAATGGCTCAGGGGGGACACAAGTCTAAAAAGGTTGGGAACCACTGTTGATGTGCTCTTTATATTGACTTTTGTATATTGAATTGTGACCCTTGTGTAATATGTATCATATAACCAAATTCTTGTCAATACACAGCCCTAAATGCAAGTGTAATTGTCATCTATTAATTATAATTTATCCAATAAGAATTTGATAAAAGTTATCAGAAAACACATTTAAAAAACGACTACTATATTCGGAGCATTTTGTTAGTCCAAAATTTCTATAAATGACCAACCTGTTTGAATTCAGCTTCTGCTTCATATAACCATGCGTGCCTCAGTTTCTCCTTGTCTTCTGCCAGATCCATGATCTGCTCAAACGACGCATTATCCTCACTGGTATTTTTAGCAAGGAAACGATCCAAACTTGGCAATATTTTCTCCTCTGTGTCGGTCTCTTTTTTATCTATAGGGAAAGCATTTGTAAAATGAAGAGAAACTTAAAAAAAACACTTTGTGTGTATACATTTATTCTCACACCAGCTTAAGAAAAGACTAGTTAGAGGAAATAATTTCAAACATACCAACATCTGAACTTTTACTGCAGATCGTAGAAGAGGGAGATCCTGAGCGACCCACTGGTGTCTCAAAGCTGGCAGGGGTCACGTCTTACACAGAGGCAAAGAAAGACATTTAAAATAACTTAATAAATCCTTTAACAGCACAAACAAACAAAAGCTGTTTATATTTCTTCAATTAATAGAGTACCAATTAATATATGCCTCTGACTCTGAAAGGAGGAAGCGAATTAAGATGATGGATGGATGGAATAGATAGTTTACAATCAGGCACGCTGTTTATTTGTTTATTATTAATGAGCTTTCTACTCACAAGGTGCAGAGGTTTGTGGGGTAGATTTGGTCAAAGATGATCCATATCGGATCGATATCTCCCTCATCCTTTCAAGGTCTCCATTTTCCTCGGCTTCAAGGTAGTCCTTCTGCGCTTGCAATTTGGTAACATCTGGAAAAAAGTCCCTCTGGATGATTTTCTCCAAGCTCTGTCGTGAACAAAAGATAATTCAGTAAGATTAGAGCTACAGTACAGTAGACTTTTAAAAAGCGCATATACAAATAGAGAAAAAAAAAATTTATGGTTGGTATTTTATAGGGATGTTGACATTTCGTCAGCAGCTGCTGCCATTTTCTTCCCAAACTGCTTTGACCAGATTTTGCGAGGCTGCTCGGTGCGTTTGCTTGTAATTTCCTCCTGCTTCGTTATTTCTGCGTATTTCAACAAACCGGGCTGCCGTCAGGTAGTTAGCTACAGCCTCGTCTTRGAGTTTTTAATTTTTGTTGATGAGTTTTGAAGAGAGAATTTTTTGAAAAGAGGATCAAAGTAAATCACCCGAGTTTTTCTAGTGACCCCTTAAAGAGATAAGCTGCCATGAAGAACATTATTTTATCTGCCCTTCTTCCAAATTTGATAACGATTTGAAACATCGAAGTATGTTTTTTTTTTTTATCCGGAACAGCGCTTGTTGGAAAGTGTTTTGATGCTCGTCTTCGTCACTTGGACACATTTAACACGCTGTCATTGGTTGAGGAGCTTTGTTTACAAAACACATGTCCAAATGGTTTTTAAATTGTTTTAATTTTCTTACTTTCTAAGACACATTAAGTTGATTTGATGCTACAGTTTGCCTTGTAATATTATTTTATACCTTTTCTGCTACTTTTGAATTGGCTATTATTAAGTTTTATTAGCTTTTTAGGATACAAGATGCTTCCTACAAAACCAGAATGTGAATCTTTTCCTAAAATTTCATGGCGATATCTTGAACACTGAGGAAGTTATGAGCAAAATTAGAAAACAGCAAGGTGAAATGGTCACAAAGGCCTCATTGGTTCTGCTGTGAACTGCAGCAAGAAAACATGAGCTGATTTCACCTAAACAAACATCAATAACTTCCCTCATACTTCAGAAAATCACATGATTTTGGTGTTATTTTGTGTGGTTTGAAATGTTCTTTTGGAATCCGCTGTCAGATTTAATATTGGTGTAGGATTAAAAATTTATCCACATCCCTACATCTTACAATCACATTTTATTTCAAGTATCTCACCTCAATGTACTCCTCTTCATCGAGGACTTTTCTCTTTAGCTTTCCCTGATCCTTGTCTGTTTCCTCGGGCTGACGGAGAGCCACTGTTGTGACCGCTGAAGGTACGAGAGTTCCGGACAACGCTTTCCTCACGCTCCCGCTACCCTCCATGATTGTGGAGGTTGTTGTTGTTAGCTTAGCCCAAAGACAAGAAGCGAGCCTACGGCTATAAAGCTACCTAACAAATAAAAACAAAGCACTGATGTTCAACTATAAAAGCACCTAAATAAAACAAATCAAAGTTTAAAGTAGTTACACGTTTAAAACAGCGAGATATCCGTCACGTTGAAGCTAACTTTTAGCCACGACGTCACCATACACAAAACGTATTTACGTGAAAGACGTTACGTCACCGGAAGTTAACACCTCCTAAATAATTTTTCAGAATAAAATATGTCAGCGTCCGAAATTATTTTTACCCACCTGATTCTTCCTCATTTTTTATATTTTCGGATGTAAAATAAATATGCAAATTTGTGAATTTTAGAAACATAAAGGCCAAGCAGTATTTATTCATAAAATTAAAGGAATGTATTATTAAAAATGCTTAAAAAAAAAGCTTAACATTTTCACAAGATTTTTCATTGACCAAAATAACTAAAAAGTTAGTAAAAACAATTATACATTGGATTTTAATAAAAAATATTTTGATGGCATTCATTTTGTTTCATTCATTTTAGGAGGTGGATTTTAAAAATGAAAAAAAAAAAAAAAAAAACTAAATAAAATAAAAGCCGTTGTCATTTCAGTGTAGTTTATGAAGGTATAGGATGCTAACAATGAAAAGTTCCAAAATAATTGCTCATAATATAGGAAAATGGAAAAATGAAACATATACATTGAATGTAAAAGCTATAGATGTTATATATATATTTATATATTTTCTATATTACTGTTACTGTATAAATTTGACTCCGGGCTAAAAAAATGTTTAATAGCTATCTAAATCAAAACGGATAACTTTTGAACTTTCAATTTTTAAACTTAAACAGTTTGAACATGAGTTATGTGTGTTACAAGAAAGTTACTACATTAAAAAAACTATTTTTATTAAAGACAACATAATGTTTTTTATGTGCAAAAGACATAATGCCAGTTGCATGCAATCAACCAATCAGAATATACACAAAGGTTTATTGTTAGGATAAAACTGAAACAAAAAAAGGTATGTTTTCTGTGTGAGCTTGAATATTTGTCCAATACATTATATATCTGTCTGATATTTCAGCAGAACAAATTAATTTTCCGTGTTTCCAACAACAAATGAAAGTCTTTTTTGCCGTCTCCACTTGGCTCTTCGGTTTTTAAACCAAACCTGTAACGATGTGAAAAAAAATTGTTTCTTAAAACTTTTTTTACATCATCCTGCAGCTTCATAACCTGGCTGCACATTTTCATGTTCACATTCCTAAAAAACAAATAAAAGAAACTCAACAGTCGTCTTACTTCTACTCTCTCTTCTCTTAAGTGAGTGCGCTGTGCAAGTTTCTCCCTAGTGTTCACATCTGGATACTGATTCTGCAGGAACAGCTCCTCCAGCGCGTCCAGCTGTTCCTCTGTGAAAATGGTGCGGTGACGCCTGGTTCTCCTCTGCGCCTGACCTCCGGACACCTGCTCCTCTTTGCGAGCGTCTCCCAGCCTGCAGGGCTCCGAGAGCATCGCTGAGCTCCATCCCAACTGGCAGGCTGCAAAAGGAAAAGAGGAAAGGTTTTGGCAAAAAAATAATAATAATAAATAATATGAGATCAGTTTGGAGCAGAGAGAGTTGAGGAGTTGGTCCTACCTTCATGAATGAAATCAGGGTGGAATATGTCAGCACAATGAGAGCAGTAACAGCAGCACAGGCAGGCGTGACGCACCGACTCCTTCTCCTTCAGCCCGTTTGCTCCACAGGGCCGCTTTTCCCCGCCGCCGCTCGGATATTTGCTTAAAATGTTCTCAATTGTGAACGGGAACTTCTGTCTCTCCGTCCTGACGAGTCCGTCCATTTTCAAAGACAACTCCAAGAAAGCAAACGGTGATGTGCAACACTTTGGATTCAGCCTCAGCTGCACTTCTTCTCCTCTCTCTTCAACAGGGTACTCGAGCCCTTATAGGCCCCCAAAAAAAGGGGGGGAGAGAGGGGAAAAAAAGATGAAGTAAAACCATAATCCCCCTGTGGACCAGACACATAAAACGGTTGAAACTTAATTCCTAGCTAATCTGGGCAGTTTTGTGAAGAGGTTAGGGAGGACGGCAGATTCAGTTAATCTTGCCTCATTCCTTTTCTTCAAGAGAAATCAGATTTCGCTGCATAAAATGAAAAAGCGGAGAGCTCCACTAAAATCCTTTATTGTTGAGGTTTTAGAGAAAAGGAGATTGCCTGGTATTAGAAACCTGGACTTAAAGATGAACATCTCTGAAGTGGCCCGAGACGCCAAGAATTTAAGGGATTAGTCTTTAAATTAATTTTTTTAAACACCCTCCCTTGTTTCGGTCGAGCTTTAAAAATGGTTTGGTGTATATTTGGATTCAGATCTGAATGGCCTCAGTCAGTTAGAACGGCACTAAATATAGATAAAGACACAAGGAAGGAGCTAATTCAATGCATGCGTCCACGTGATTTGTAGTCACGGTCATGCATCCTGTGTCTTATCTGTGTGCTGCAGTCTTTTCAGTTTGACTTCTCTGACAAAGCGCACAGTGAGGTAAAGCTATTACAGGTTAAATTCATCTCCCTCCCAGCAAATCCTCTGATTTCATACAAGGCAATACACTTTTTTTTTTCAGGGAATTAAGGGATTTCTACAATCTGTCTTAAGACCCCACCACCACCCCTGTTATAAGGGATTTTTTGAAAACAGATAACAATAAACACCATCCCATCCTTTTCACTTTGGTTTAATAGCGTCCAGATTGTTGATGTGTGGTTCGAGCAGCGTGGGAGATTGTTATCTGCGCTTATTGTGGCTCTCAATGGAGGGAATTGTAGCACGCCCGTGTAGGTTCAGACAGTTCAGAAATTCATTACTGAAGATTAGAATTGTAAAGGTTTGTGTTGTTGTTGTAAGAAGCATTTGGCACAATAAGTGAATGGAAGAATCACTGTTCAATAGTACGTCCCTGGTGTTCATATTTTGTTTCGTAAAAGTGATGAGAGTTTCAGCGTCTACTTTTATGATGCAAAGTTATGCTGGCAAAATTGATGCAGTAGCAGTTTAGCAGTGTCATGAAGTATGGGAGGCCCTCTCTATAACAAAAGACACACTTTAGATGAGACCACTGTAGGTTATAAAACTGACTTTTCTGCATTGATGGTTGCTGTCCAGATGTACAGACTACCTGTGCAATAAGCACAAATGTACCCCCATACCATCAGAGAGGCAGGGTTGAGAACTGTGTGCTGACAGGCAGAACGGTTCTGACTTCTTTACAGACGTAAACAGGTCTATCCATTGATGCTACGTGTTAGCATGTCGGTTCTGAAGTTATTGTACAACCAGAGTTGGTTAATTCGTTATCTGATGAGTGTTTTTATCCTGCTTCTGGTCAGCTGCTCTGGTGCAGCATGTTTTTATGGAACAAGAGCCACATGCTGGAAGTAAAACTAACTAAAGTATTGATCCAGTAACTTTAGTATTGATACAGTCCGTGATCGATCCAATGTTATCATTTATTTCTGTGGATTCTCAGCCATCCAAGAAAAAAAAAAGATGAAGCAATTGGACTTCTGTAGCTGAAGATGTGTGGAATTTCAAGATTTAAACTGCATAACTCGAGGTTAGTATCATTACTTAGACTGATCCTCTC